TTTTTAAGGTAAAATGTATCATTTAAGGCACAAAGTCTATCTTAGGTTATTAGTATTTTTGTTTTCTGTTCTCTGTTTGGGGGATATATCGAGTATGTTTTGAAAATCGGTAAATAAGTATAGGGTATTGTGTCTAATTCGGTAACTTTATTCTAGTAATTGGTTTTCATATTAAGTGTAATCTTTTTAAGTTAACGATTTCGTGAATTCTCTGTCTGGGTCAAGTAAGGGAAGGAGAAGTTAGGGTTCGGAAACTGGAACTCGACGAGAACAGAAAATAATGGAGACATGTTGTGACTTCGGCCAAGTCACATGAAAAGCTATAGAAGAAAAAAGCAACGACAATATGTGGCTTGGTTCCCCGCATATAATGAACCAGAACTGCATAAGAAGGGCGGCAATCATTCCACTAGGAATGATATAAAAATGATGAAACGCAAATTCGCGTAAAGTTACTGTTGCTGCGGCAAGTTAGAAGTAATAAGCTACCTACACTATTAACCCCCGTCCCTGATCCAACAGACCAGCATGAGCCTATCTAAAATCAACTATAGTTCGATATAAGGTATATTCAGACCTACTAAAACATATCATACAAACACGACTGGTTATCTTGAACAAAAATCTAGTGCATCTACCTTGTCATATGCAACAGTTCCTAAATCTGGAGCAGTTAACTTTGTTATCTGAATTTCCTGCACGATCAACCCAAACCATAGTTTCGCTGATGACAGCACTCTACATGCAGGAATTCAGAGTGGCAGCCGATCTCTGCCGCTGAGCTGGAAAATAGAAGACTAGCGACTACTTTCTCTCTGACGAGAGACCTGGAGGTTATCACTGCTTGGGGACGCAACAATCTTGTACAGTTTAATGCTTCCAAAACACAGTACTGTACTTTGACGAACAAAAAGCGTCCTAAAGCTTATCCGGTTCCGATGGATGGCCGAGCTCTGCCAAAGAGCCATTCACTTCGACAGGTCGGAGTCCAGATCACCGAGGACCTGGTCAGGCACGAATTCATCTCGACAAGAGCGGTAGGTGCTGGGAAAAAGTTAGGCTATTTGTTTGGGGCTCAGAGGTACTTTTCTCCGCATGACCTTCTCACTCTATACAAGGCCTAGATAAGGCATAGCCTCGAGTATGTATTGCTCACACATTTGGGGTGCTGCTGCTCCGACTACATTATTTATGCTCGATGCTGACCAGAGGAGGGCTGTCCGACTGATCGATGACTCTTTTCTAACACAGTCTCGGGACCCTTTCGCACAGGCGGGCCGCGGGGATCTAGCTCTCTTGTAGCGCTACACCAACGCGCTTTGCTCCTCAGAGCTCTCTTCCACGATACCGCTACGCGATGTGCCTGCCAGACAGACCCGCCTGACTTTGACCTCCCATCCTAACCGTTTCGTGTTCGTTTTCGCAATCAAAAAGATTGTTTTGTGTGGATTGAACTGGGATATGTCTCGGAGTCCCTCAGAATGTTTTTTTTTGTTACCAGCAATGAAGTTTTTTATGTTTAAATCTTTAATATTATTACACTAGTCAATTATACATGCGGCGTACTTATTTTGTTCTCATATAATAAAATATTGCTGTTTTGAGGATTTCTGAGCATTTTCCATGTTTTTTTTTCAAGCTGGCCTTGACCAGATAGAACACAATGGATTTAAGGAGCAATATTAGGATAAATTCTAGAAGTTCCACTGAGGTTAAAAAATGACCAGCCCCAAATATCGTTTGTGCCCCCCCCTAGACGAAATCCTGAATCCGCCCTTGTCCTAGATCACCAGATATGACACTGATGGACTTCTTTCTATGGAGCTACGTTATAGATATCCACCATCTACCCCGGAAAATATGAAGGAAAGGATTAAGGATGATTTTCTGAACATCCGGGAACACATGCTGAGGGATGTGCAACGGTCATTTATCCAAAGACTACGGCTGTGTGTTCAACATGGTGGAGATATTTTCGAGCAGTTTTTGTAGATTAGGTCTTGAGTAGTGATAGTTGCTTGTTTATGTTGTTGTTATAGTTGTTTTTCTCTATTACGCTTGAAGCTGATTTATACTGTTGTACTGATTGTTTTTAGTTTTTACGTCAAATCTGTACTCTTAGGCCCGTATCGTCACTCGTCCCTACAATTGTAGGACGCGTTTATGGCCTCCTTGATTGTCATACTGCTTTCTCTCCTTCAAAAATTTCTAGATTACACTTGTCCCGTGTCAGCGTCAGCGCTCTCCTATTGTGAAGATATGTTTTCTTTTTAAATTGTAGGAAATTTCAGGCTGATAAAACATGATATAACTCAAAAGCAAGCACAATTTGATGCAAATAGATGTTTGTGACATAACCTCAAAATAGAGCGCTGACACGGGGAAGTAGAAAACTTAGGCCCGTATCGTCAGTCGTCCCTACAATTGTAGGCCGCCTTTATGGCCTCCTTGATTGTCATAGTTTTCTACTTCTCCGTGTAAGAACTCTATTTTGAGGTTATGTCACAAACATCTATTTGCATCAAATTATGCTTGCTTTTGAGTTATATCATGTTTCATCAGCCTGAAATTTCCTACAATTTAAAAGAAAAACACATCTTAACAATAGGAGAGCGCTGACGCTGACACGGGACAAGTGTAATCCAGAAATTTTTGAAGGAGCGACAGGAGTATGACAATCAAGGAGGCCATAAAGGCGCCCTACAATTGTAGGGCCTAAGGCCCGTATCGTCAGTCATCCCTACAATTGTAGGGCGCGTTTATGGCCTCCTTGATTGTCATACACTTTTCTCTCCTTCAAAAATGTCTAGATTACACTCGTCCCGTGTCAGCGTCAGGGCTCTCCTATTGTTAAGATGTGTTTTCCTTTTGTGTGAATATTTAAGGGTGTGAATCTACATAAAAAATTAATGTTAGTTTGCTTTATAAACTATGGTCCAAAAATGTTTCCTTACAAAAACTCGAGGTGTTGAGGTCTTAGGAAAAAAATGGAAATTAATTAATATTTTCAGAACCACTTCAGATATTTCACTGATATTTAGTACGTAGTGAAAGTTAATAAAGTTGCATATTTTTCAATGCAAAAATAATGCTTAGCTTTAAAAGTGGCGTACGTACGGGTATTGACTTCGATATTTTTTAAGAAAAAAATGGTACGCCAATGGCTTTTTGCCAAATAAATTATAATATTATATTTTTGAATTCCCCGTTCAATTTCAAACAAATGATCTCTCTTGAATTGTTTTCCTTCAATGCGCCATTTTTGAGTAAAAAAATAAAAACCGTACTAATGTCTAATTATTATTAATTTAATTGGAAAAATTAAACGCATTAGGGGTAATGAACAACAACAATTTACAACATAAACATAACATTAAAACCAACGAAATGATTACAAAAATTGTTGAAAATGTCCCCCTTCACTAGGTATGCATGCTTCCGCCCTCCTCATAGAATTGCGCACTCGTTGAAGTATTCCTGGAGTGTACCATCATGCATGTATCACATATTGTTTCTTATTACTAACCGAACAACATCAAGCAGCAAAGGCAACTGTTGTTGAAAAAAATTGAGGTAAGTCTCTAAGGAAAGTGGTTGCCAATAATTCCTGCCCATACATTAACCGAAAAGGTGTTGGAAATGGGTTTCGGTTACGGCATAGGGATTTGCTTCTGCCCACAAATGATTATTGTGGAATTTCTGAATGGCATTTCGAGAAAAATTAGCTTCGTCCGTGAACAGAATCATTGATTCAAATTGCGGATTTTGTGTAATTTTTTGAAGATACCACTGACAAATGTCACACGCCTTGGAAAATCAATTGGGAAGTAATGCCTGTACTCTTAAAATATGGTAAGGATATAACAAAAAATCCACTACAATTCTCCAAACAATTTGATGGCAAATATTTAAGTGTGTAGCAATCCTCGTACTCGTTTCAGGATGTCCTTCGACTTCGTGCAGGACTGCTTCCTCAATTTCAGGTGTTCTCACACTTAGAGGTCTACCATCAGATGTTCCTTTTCGGACAGAACCAGTTTCAACAAGTCGACGAAAAGGTTCGACTATCTGGCAAAGCACGATCGGGATATCTCTGGTGATAAATCCGTCTGGCTTGCTCACCATTACCGTCGGCAAAAGGCCATATACGTAATGCATTTCCACCATTTCTGCATTTGAATAAATCACCATTATTAACAAGATTGTAAAAACTAAAAATAATGAAAAAGATGTCACAGCGAACATATTTGAATAACAGAGAGTTGTCCGATATCAAGAGCCAGTGACAAACATATTCCAGAGCAACTAGATATTTATTGCTAAATTGCATTCTTCAATTATTACATTAATTTTCTCGGACAATAGAACGGTTTTTTTTTACTCAAAAATGGCGCATCGAAAGAAAACAATTCAAGAGAGATCATTTGTTTTAAATTGAACCGGGGATTCAAAAATAATTTTTATTTGGCAAAAAACCATTGGCATACCATTTCTTTCTCAAAAAAGTCAATATCAGTACGCACGCCATTGTTAAAGCTAAAAATTATTTTTGCATTGACAACTTTCACTACGTACTAAATATCAGTGAAATATTTGAAGCGGTTCTGAAAATGTTAATTAATCTCCATTTTTTGCATAAAACTTCAACAGCCCGACTTTTTGCAAGGAAACATTTTTGGACCATAGTTTATAAAGCAAACTAACATTAATTTTTCATACAGGGTGCTGATTCTTTCAATAAATAGGCCGGGGAAGTATTGCAATCGCGAAAAATAATTTTTGAATATAACAGTGGGCAAAATTTTTGTGGCGTCCGCCAGATAATCTTTGGCTCTATATTACAGACAAAAAAATATTTATAGTTGCTGCTATTTCTGCAAATTAATCATTGGTCCCTCTATAAGAAGACATTTTGAAAGGTCTGTCTAATGGTACCAATATTATGACCAAAAGATCTACTAATGGCGATTTCTCGGATAGTAGGGAAAACAGGAATATGCTTACTTTGAAAACTTTATTGAATGTAATTTACAATGTTATGATGAAGTGGTGTAAGATAACTTAAAACTCTGTTATCAACACAGCTCAACAATGAGGTTTAAAATAATGGTTTTGAAGTTACATAATATTTTTTGCTAAATGAGAACATTACAAAATACATAACACATTCACATATCTAGAGATACTCAACTAACTCTTTCATGTCCATCAGTTTTCTCTTTTGTCGTCTCACCATCTCTTGGATGCCGGCAGTCACGTGGTCACCTCCTCGTTGGCGCCGTCAAACTCGAGCTTAACCTCCTCGTGCAAACCCTCCACATCTACTTCGGATTCTGCAGCGGCGTTCAGCATGTTCAGGGTCACCTCGGACTTTATTAGCTGTTGTTGGACTTGTTGCTGTTGCTGTTGGGCCTGCTGCTGTTGTTGCTGCGAGAAAATAATAATAATATAACACCGTCTTTTTTTATTAAAGACAAATTACAGTTAATACATGTATTACCTATAATAAAACTAGAAAGCAACTTAATGGCGAAGTTTAGCTATAACAGCTACAAGGTCTGTAAATTGAGTGATGAGACTGGCATCGTAGCGTTCGATCTGGCAGCACTGGAGACGCCGAGCATAGAGGGGTGACAGGGAAACGTGTGATTCGCCTTCAATACAAGTTTGAACTCGCTCGAGCCATTTGATTGACCGTAGCGCTTTTTTTTGGTGAAACAACAAAAAACGAAACCAAATTGAAATTCTAATTATGCCTTCCTGTAGAGGAGAAAAACTGTCAATGTTAATGTGCAATTTATTTAGAAATCTTACTTACCCTGTAAAGAGGGAGTCTTCAAAGTTGATTCATTTATTTTAACAGCTTTCAAATAGCCCCACAGAAAAAAATCGCAAAGCGTTAAATATGGGGAGCGAACAGGTCAAGAAATGGGTCCATTGCGCCCTATCCATTTACTCGGAAACTCATTAGTTAGATGTTCATGAACTTCTCGTCCAAAATGTGGTGGAGTCCCATCATGTAGGAACCACTTAGCAGCTGCGGCTGCGTTTTGTTGGCACTCTCCGTATGTTAATATTATGTCCACTAGTGCATTGATTTCGAAATCATGGGGCATTTTTTCGCACAAAATAATCAGACAAATGAAAGTATACGCACTATTTAAAGACTGATACAACTGATCGAAGCAAAGACTCGTACTGAAAATTATACAATAACACAAAAAGTTTGCCAAATTTAGATAAACGATAAGAGTAATAAAAAAATGCTAAGATTTAACACGGCAGTGGTCGAGAATATCAAAAAATCTGTGTAATAACATTCTTATTTTTTAAATCTTTAATCTTTTACTATTTCTTTTATTATGCAACTTTTATATAGATGATTTTTGGTATATCAACCTATATCAACTCCTTTTAACGAGTTCTACGAGCAGTTAAAATAAATGACTCGACTTTGAAAACACCCTGAATATCGTGACTATAAGGAGTAAAACGAAAAATGGCCGCAAAACAGACTGATTTTTGAATGTAAGATGCAAATCCACTACAGCAAAGTTACTATTATACTTCATCACCAATTCCTACTTGAAGATATACATAGGTACATCATTAACTACAGTTGTGGGAAATTCAGTAACTCAATCCTACAAGTGTGAACGTTGTGTTATAGTTCGGTCACAGAGTACTACCAGAGGCTACACTCTGTCAAAAGTCAGGTTCTATCAACGCCAACTTGAGTTCTATGCATGTGGTGGGATTCCTGTTGCTGTGACATTTAGGGGGTATCCGTGGAATGTTTTGACACGTGACCACAAACCAGTGTTATCAATACAAATAAATTATCTGACCTAAATGCATTTTGGGAAATGATAAACACAAATTTCTTCATTCTGTAGCTTGACATATGACATCCGTGACGTCAGGCTAATAACGCGTAACAGCCCCTAGGAAAAAATCCTCCGCACGCTAATGAACATAAGCGGGAAATGTGGTTAGCAGTTGGGGTCGCGAAGATCAAAGGGACCGACAGCAGGTGTCGCATCTGTATAATCTGTGGTTCAGTTCCAAATTGGAACCGATGTTGTCACGTGCTATTCTAAGAAATGGACTAAAACCCTGCATATTGAATTTTTGCATGAACATTTAAATGTTCAATGATTTTCTCCTGATCTCCCATTTGAAATAAGATACATAAGCAACATCTTCAATTCCAAGTAATTTTAGGTCAAATCCTACGGTAAGATCAGCAAGCCAGAAGTCAGGCTTTGCGATCTACGTATCACTGGATAAGGTAGGCTTTGTAATACTCAGTCGATGCAAATAGTGCCATCCTCTGTGGGAAAACATCAATTTACAACAATTTTGTCTTCTCACCTATCCACCTTAACAAGGATTCCTCTTAAAGCTGTTTGAAAAATATTGGATTTGACAACATTATATTCAGATATTCTCTTGATAACAGTTTAATATGCTGCGAATTAGCTGCGGCTACTATGTTTTTAATTATGTCTGAAGCTCGACCGCTATTCGTAAATTGTGATTCTGGAAATCAAATCCATAGATTCGACGAACTGAATTTTTGCGACGTAACTAGCTGTAATTACGTATTTTAAATGTGACTGCTTCAATTCAACCAATAATAATGGAATATACATATAACAAGTAGGTCCAGTAATAAAAAATGTTTGAATATGGACCAAAAACCTGGTTCGTGGATTTTCTTCAAATTCTGAACTTTCGAAAACTCGCAAAAACCGAGCAACTATCATGCCAAGGACCTATTTAAAGTATCGATAAGGTGAGCTTGACTTTCAGTTTATAATTTGCGTCTATAAAAAAACAAATATTGTTCATTACTGCACTTAGCAATAAAATTTTTGTTGAAGTCATCCGTCATTCTACTACGCAAGTTCCTCAAAGATACGAGATCACGCCTACTATGATTTGGCTTACACAACTAAAATTCTACAAACATCAGTCAAAAATCAATCCTGACAGCTACAAAGTTAGTTTAAAATGACTAGTAAAAGAGATGTTAGCGACGAATAAACGAATAGAATGGGCATTTAGGCAATAAGTGTAAAACCAAATTGTTATTAAAATAGTCAACAATCATTGCCCACTATGTGCACTTCAGACTGGCACGGGTATTATGTAAAAAACCTATAAAACATCAAAAAAAAAACCTATAAGATGTCATCTTGCAGTCTAGGTAGTAGTTTTTAAGGTGCAAGCTGTCATTCCATGTTTGCTCACTAGGATCGTGGTGAGCGCGATCCAAAGCGTCCATCTATGGAGGAATGAATGAACGATACGGCATGGCATGCTCATCTCTTTCGAAGTATGGATTGCTGGTTGCAGACAGCCACTTTGTTTGTAGAGAAATTATTGTAGTGTTTGAAATGTGAAAGAAGGACAGTTTGGTTAAGTAGCAGCAAAACCACACCTGGATGATTGTTTTGGTCTGCATGTGTATAAAATCTGTGATATTTGCTATGTGAGAAAATTATTACTGACTATGCTACCAATGAAGTATATCTATTAACTGTACCAGACGGGTTATTTGTGTTGTTCTTTCTGAAGAGAGGTTATGTTCAAAGTTCTATACATTACGATTTTTCCCGTTTTTTTTTTTTGTGTTTTCAAAAATTACAAAAAATCACCACCGCGCCAGCGTTATGTGTAATTACTGTTAGCATGTATATGACTTGTAATTCGACAGTGTACAGTGAATATATTTATTTATTATCTCTCTCGTTTTTGAAATTCAGCAAATTGGCATATGTAATTTCCAGAATGGATTAGAAAAAGTGGATAATTTCTAGCCTTGAATCTCAAGTAAGTGTATTTGAGACAAGAATCTAATGGAAGTATCATCAACATACATTATTAGCACACAAATCCTCACTAGAATTGGAAAAAAGTCAATGCTTTAATTAGCTGAGCATATTTTGGAGAATGATAGTACCCATCAATATGAACAACTTTCCCCAAAAACACGTTGTCGCAAACATATTTTTTTCATAACTAAATTTTTCGGAAAACATCATTGCCCAAAATAGGGTTTGCTAATTAAACGTCACCCTGTATATTAATATTTCATGAAATTAAAATATTTCACAATAATTATGTTATCTATTTGTGTGGTGTCGGTGGCAAGACTTCTAAATAGCTGGCCTAGCAAGTATTTCAGTAATAAAAGCCTCGGTATCCATTTTTTGCGGCGAAAAAAACTAAACTCGTTTGATTACGGCACTATTCGCCACGACTGCCGCTCAACTCCGTGGCTTGCGCCGTACTGATTCATGCCTTTGATTTACTCACCTGCCGCGCCGCCAGTCGCCTGCGCGGTTCGCTCGTTACATTTCGCCGGTCGCTTCACCATTCGGCGCTGCGCGAGGCTTGATAAGTACATTTATATGCGTTTATTTCAATCGCTGGACGCTTCGCCGTTCGCACTGCGGGAATATTCGCTATGGCGAATGTCCTGTGGCCATGTCGTTAAGTAGGGATCGCGGATACGGGAGTTTGGTTAGTGCCGGCATTACGCATATATTATATCAAAAATTGTACGAAATACAATGTGTAGTACGAACCAGCGGCATGTTTTATGTCCTGGTGAAAGGAACACCGTTTACAATGCACTTCGTTCGCGATTTCCTGTTAAAAAATGGATGAAGTGTAGGGATATGACCTAGGTATCAATCAGGACCATTTATGGAATCCTGAAACCAGAAAACAGAATGAATATTCAATAACAACGGACACCTTGAAAACTAGGACGTAAGAAATTTGTCCTAGATGATGACGTGAAAAATGTAATTGGTCGAAAAGTGATTCTTTTTATTTACAAAATGAAATACCCACACTAAAAAAGCTCCAACGTGACTTGGACTGTGACGAAAGCCTTCCAAATATATCTTGTCGCAATCTGTTGAGAACCTTGCGCGAAATTAATATCAAATGTTCAAAACAAAAAAGAAACAGTGCATTAATCGAGAAATATGACAACACTATGTGGCTTAGGGAATACTTGAAAACCATACGTAGTATTCGCGTAATCGGGCAACAGCAAGTCTACTACTTGGATAAAACGTGGCTGAATGAAGGCAATACTGTTTCCAAGTTTTGGCAAGATTTGAATATGACAAGCCCATCGTGATGAAGTACTGGTATAAAATGTCTCTCAAGCAAAGGTCGCCGATTAATAATAATACATATGTTATATGTAGTGCATCTGGCTTTGTGACTGGATGGTTGAATATATTTGAATCAAGAAAAACTGGTGACTACCACGAGGACATGAATGCCGAAGTTTTTGAATCTTCATTTAAATCCATTGACAATGCGTCGTACCACAGTCAACTTATAGAAAACCTTCCCAGTTCAAATTGGCGAAAAGCTGACATTTATAGTTGGCTGGAGTC